AGTGTTTTTAAGAAACGCACTCAGAAATATATTTTTTTTTTAAAGTCACAATTGAGGCAAATGTACGTTTTTATACACTATCAACGATAATTCTTCCCCCATTGAAACCGTCTAATGTACTTTTTCAAGCAGTTTACAAAATATTTATGTGCAATCTAAGCACTTTTGTTAGGAGCAGGACACTCCTATGACACTTATGACACTCCTATGTATTTCCATCACATTTGTATAAAAAGAAATATCAGAAACACTTGAAGCTGAATCATAAAAATGTTAATCAATGATGCATTTGGAAGTTTATTATTTTCGATTTCAATTGGTCGTTTTTGTTGGGCTTGCAATAAAATGTGTCATGTGTGTAGAAACAGATAGCAGTTTTCGATTATTTTAAAAGGTCAGTATATCAAAACATAGGCCTACGAGGAAAACTCTGATTCTTTATGATCTGTACACTGCATGAACTGACAGTGATAGTGCAAAGAAATAGCGTGTGAACAAAAAAATAATAGAAACTCTATTTTGTACTTTTGATCATGAGAGACACGCAACATGATTATTACAGGTGTACAGAGGGGGAAGAGTGGTTGTAGGTGTAAGGGAGAAGGTATAAAAGATAAAGCTATGGAGAAAGGAGAGAGGGATATGAGAAACAGGATGGAAAGAAGAGAGTGTGTGTGAGAGAGAAGGAGAAAGAAGCATAAACTCAACTCAAAGGTAATTTCAATATCCTACTGTATTACCTAAACAAACTATGTCCATATTATGTAATATGTATTTTAATGGTCGCACATTTCAGCAGGTGTGGCACAAATAAGTTTGATTTCTTGACAACAAAAATCTTGCTATCGTGTTGTCGGCATATAAAATAGAGTAACGAGGATAATGGCATCTACATATCATTCTTTTTCTTCTTCTTGATAAAAAATATTAAAGAAAATTCATTGAATACACGGTAATCAATTAATTGCTAATCAATGCCTTTTACGAAGAAAAAAATTAATAACACAGGCTCCCAAAACCTAGGGAAACTGGCTCTATACGATAAATTTAAGACGAGGAGCGCGCCATCAATGTTCTATCCAAAACATCGCACTTCTCCATTTTTCCACATAGCAAATCGATTCGGAAAAAAATTGAGTTGGGTGCCTTTCGTCGAGTTGTAGTGGGTGGAAAAGTAATTTTCACCTTAGTGATAATTAGTCGAACCTGCCAATTAAAATAGTATGATGTGAAAAGCAGCGTGTACCGTTTCTTGACCCGGGTGACCGCGCGGTCGAAGGCAGCCGTCGGCGGCGTTTCGGATTGAGTAGTTTTGGGGGTTTGGCAGAGTTTCCCGTTTTAATAAGTCTTAACCTGAAGTGGCCGGAGTGGCAATGCCTAAATCGAATGCGGACGAGAATGGGACGGTGTAAGGTCAATATGGCAAGATGGGGCTATGCCCATGAAGGAGATACTCTCTGCGACTGCGGAGAGACTCAGACGATGGACCACCTCTTGCAGTGCGGCGGAACGGGTTGCACAGATGAAGACCTGTCCCTTGTTAATGAAACGGCCATTGCAGCAATCGAGCGATGGAAGAACTTAATTTAATTTAATTTACTTCTAAGTTAAGGAACTTTACATTACTATCTTGATCTAAGGAGACACGAACGAACGAACGATAAGTCAGAATAACTTATACTGTCCTCTTGTATGAATTGAAATAAGTCTACTATTTCTAGTAAAGACATTGATTTTTAAAGAAATTGTACATCGTTGAGTATTTATTCTTCAGGATTGAAGGATCATGGTGTTTAAAATAACGAATTCCCAACCGTTTTTTCCCCCAAACAAATAATTTCTGACACACTGTCACTCGATTGATACTGTATATATCTATTTATTATCTATTTCTATATCTACAATCCCACTTTCGCAGATGTCGATCGTATTTTTTTTGGAATGGAACGGAAGCAGGAGACTGAAATCCAAATATGAAAAAGGAAGGACAAAGGAAGGACGATTTGCTTTGCCAATTTGCATGAAGGTGGGGTGAGTCCTGAGTGACATATGGGTATATAGAGTGTAACTTCAGAACCTGAGGACAAGATGGGAGCTGAATTGGACCAAAGTACACACCGCTTTGGATGCGGGGTCCGTCGGGTAAATTTACTTTTGACCAAGGACGCATCGAGACTGAATTTTCACTGTTACCCTCTCCAAACAACCCTATTCAAGTGAGCTATGCAAGGAAAATAGAGGTTTGGTATTGCTACGGATTGTGAAAAGGAGAAGTAGAAGGGTTTATAAGAAAGAAATGGCAGTTTTGGGACGCCTGGCCCTGTCAGCCTCTGGCTATTTGCTGAGACACAAATTTGACTTCTATCCCACTATTTCTTCCACAGAGTTCATCTTACTTTTTTGGGGTGATTCTTCTGTGGCCATTCCTCGCGTTTTACTTCTGCTCAAAGATGCTTCATTTCGTTATGCCTTCATAAGGTACAGTGGCGTATCCAGGGTTTAGCTTTAGAAGGGGGCATCCGAAGTTATGTTCATTTATGTGATTCAGCAAGGAAATTCATGCTTTGTTTTATGTGGGCGCATGATGGATAATAACATTTATATTGTTGTTGTTGTTGTTGGTGGTGTGTTTTTAAGTAGATGTCGGAGCACTTGTCGCCAAGAAGATTACAACAGAGTTTATAATCATAACTGTGCAGTATTCATAATTTTTGTTGTATATATTTTGCAGTGAGGAATACCGAGTCTATCTATTTCCTTTCCCATGCAATAATAAGTGCATCTCCTTCAACAAAATGTGTTACTTTTGGCAAGTCTGCTATATTTCCTAATACACGACAAGCTGAGCGAGTTGTGTGCATGATCTATATAAATTCTCCCAATAATAACAACTCTATATCACTAACGAGTTCATTCAACTTTTTTTAAACCACACTAAGCTGGGATAAATGTCTGCAATGTATTGAATACCCTGATAAGACTTTACCTACCCAGAAAGCTTAAGAAGGCAATGACTTAATCATTTTGCGAAACTGGTCACCTTCATGACCGCAATATTTCGCGGTAAACGGACATTCATATCACTTATATTCTACAATATTTCTATAGTTCTATGTATCTTGTCAGTGTCAAAGTACAAATAATTTCATTAGTTTAGTCACCCCCTCCCCCCCTCTTTATCAATGTCTGGATACGCCCACACTGCCCACCACTTATCATGAAGCAACCTACACCCATACCAAGAGTGAAAGCGTAGAAATGGAAGGTGATTGGGGGTCATTTTTCAAAATGTGGAACATGTTATCAGCATGCTCTCACTTACAGGGTTACATTCTTAGAATAATGAATTTGAAAGATGAATCTCGAACATTCCCCTCACTATTCACCTCGTTATATTAACCTGCTCTGACCCATTTAGTCCCTGTGTGGCCGATATGACTATGCGTGCCCTTTTGCGCCCCCCCCCCCCCGAAAAAAAAAAAATCACAATGAATATTACATTCATAGCTTATGAAAGTACATGAATCGTTAAACTGTGTAAAATCTTTGACAGAATGAAATGGCTTTGCAAGAGAAGTAGTCAATTACAATTTTGCTGGAAGAAAACTTTTCGACCCCCCCCCCACTAAGTAAAAGAATACTGAAAGATTATTTAGTTCGATGGTCGAGTTCCATACCTGTCTAGGTACTTCTACGAATTATATTGAAAGGAAATAAGTCGTTGATTGATTTATTTGAGCTCATTCATATCATTTGCTGCCAAACGTTTAATACAAAAATTATGATGAACAATTTTATTTTGAAAAGGCATTGGCCTTGTTGATAAGATTAAAAACAGGATTACACATGCGGAAGCCACAAGGGTATTGAGAGTAGAGTTTGGAAAATAAATGTTGCTAATAAGGGAATAAAAAAACAGGGTCTTCGGGTTATAATGTCATGAACATCATAACCCTCGTCAGGGGTGACACTGTCAAAATCATCTCAAGGAAATTCAAACATCTGCCAAATTCATCTCAAATGTTTATCAATATTCGCTTTTGTTTCTGTCACAATACATGACCACGATGTTTAAGCGTGGAAACATCGAAACCGGCAACGCCAAGTTTATGCAGACTACCAGATAGCTTCCTGCCTTCTTTCAAATGAAAAAGGTCCACACTTCCTGCTTCAACCTGAATGTTTCCGCGGGATTCGTCTGCTGAAGTATTTATTGTCCATCAAAAACAACATTGTCTTGAAATTTATCTGCAATTTCCGACTTGGTGGCAAATATTGTTGCAACCGGCCGTCATCGGCTTGGGTATAAAACATCAAAAATGGGTTTTTATCTCGACGAAGATGCCGACAGATAATTATCTAAACATAGACTTTGAAGTGACAGTCTAGATTGTAATCGGGTCAATTTCATTGTCACGGATTTGACCGCTGGAAGTGTTTTGCGCCCATGGCGTTGACCTCTTGTTTTAAACACTGATCAACATTCGATAAGACGGGAAGGGTGATGTATGGTGACGAAAAGTTGGTATTTGGGTACTTGAGAAAATGCCCATCCCTTGATTATGAATTTAGAATAGCGATGTAATTAATACAATGACATTTGTTGAGATAATAGATAGTCCAAAATGGTCTGTAAACGCGTACGCCACGTATAGCGACAGGATGGAAAGGGACGCCGAGGAAGGGTATCTCTCATTTTTACTCCAATCTCTCCCTCTATCTCGCTGTCTGTCTCTCTATCTCAACGTGTTCCTCTCTCTCTTTCTCCTTCCTATCTTTGCCATCTCCACCCCATTTCCATTCGTTTCTAGAAGCACCTCGTCATTCATTCTTCCCTTTCCTTTCTGAATAAGTACCCTTCTCCTGTCCTTAACTCTTGCATTCATACTGCTCTTTTCTCTAGGGGTGGGGGGGGGGGCATTGGACCCACCGGTTTACAAACTTCTGGAGTCATCCCTGCAATCAATAGCAGATCAATGACAACGAAAATGACTACTTACCAACGAACTCGTTGCGTATCCTGATGCGGTCTTCGACGCTGTCGGTGGCGATGAGGATGCAGTTGATGAAGGCGACCAGGGTCGTTTTGTACGACGACGTCTCAGCGCCGTGTAGCTCATCGATGATGAGGCCGAAACGGTAACGTTGGTTCTTCGACTCCTGGGATGAACGAGAAGAAGAAAAGAAAATGATGTTAAAATAAAGCATTTGGTGACGACGACGATTGTGGTGATTATAGAAACGACGACGATGATGATGATGATGATGATGATGAATCAATAACTTCAATTCAAAGTTACTTTTATTTTTTTCATTTCGTTCTTCATATCAACAAAATACTCAAGTAATCATTCAATCAATACACAACGAAACGTAAATCCTTTAGTGTATGCTTGTGTCATGAAGATGTTGTTGATGATGATGAGGAGGAGGAGGGTGAGGCTGGTAATTGTTGTTGTTCTGGTTTTGTATTGATAACCATCATGATTATGATTGATGATGTTCTGGTGATGGTAATAATGACGGCGTTGCCTATGGTAATGTGGTGATGATAATTATAATGGCAACGATATTAATTATGATTAGAGATGACGGTGTCGACGAACACGGTGATGATCTCAAAGATTATGATGGTATAAAAATGATCATCACACGGTCGAAAATAAAAAAAATTAAATTAAACAGGAGGTCATTCAGAGCAAATGAGATAAGTTTGTCACGAAATTGGGTCATCATATAAACTAAAGAAGCAACATGGCTAACTATTGTTTCTAGAAAATAATATGGGTAGAGCCAGGACGGCGTTAGCTCTGTGTTTAGGAATATAAGCTAACGTTCTTCTAGCTCTCTACAGATGCCTTGCCTCTATAAAAATCACTTTCAAATTTGGTCGCAAACCACAACATAATCATACCATACACTGCACACTAAGAAGACATTATCTTACTGAACGATGTGGTTTGAAGCCATCATCATTTATATTTTTTGGTAAATCTCTTTTCTTCTTAAGACAAATCTTTATTCAAGGCAAGTGAGGTTAGATTATAATATAGTTATGCATTGTGACGTGGGTATCAAGAATTTTGCTAATCTCCCTCGGGCATGATAGGCTTAACATTATCCTAATCCTATGACTTCAAGGATATTCCATTCTATTGGTTGAGCAATGAAATGTAATAAATTCATTATTTGATGATAATTTATTGCGCGGAGTAGCTGGCATGGATATCACTATAGGCGAAGTATTAGGGTCAGGATTTAATAGAAATAAATTTGCACTGTATATACAATGGTCCATATTTTGTCTTCCTTTTCGTAATTATTTTCCCGCTTTTTTAAGGGGGTGGAGCGTTTGGTATTACTTTATTTTTCTATCATAAAGTGAGTGAGTGAGTGCGAATATATCAAGGAAAATATAAGATGTAAAACAACCAACATACAAAACAAGCAAAGTATGTACAATGAAAGACAACAAACTATTCATTGAAATATCAAGTAATATAATTAATCAAGATAATTTTAATCGTTCTCGGAATGAACATTTCCCTCATATCTCATAAGTTATATTTCATGACCTAATTCAACTTATGGGAGTCGGGATATCATCTGAGATGAACATGGTACAGAAGTATAAAAGTTCAAAATGTAAACGGTATTCCATCTACAGTGTGTCATTGAACTAGTATGATTGATGGTATTTAATATTGTCATCTTAGATGTGCATCATGAGGAGTTTAATTGCATCCGCTAGCTACATCATGCCATAGTTTTCAATCATGTAGACATTTATGTTCAAAAACGATCAGAGGCGTCATGAGGTTTCAGCCTTGTAGGGGGCACTGTGATCATTGGGGTGGGGGGGCACCGACCGGTCTTAAGACAAAATGCAAATTAACAAGGCCATTTCGATGGAAGGTATGTTCCCTTCCCATCTCCCTTTCCCTCTTTTTCTTTATTCTTTTCGCGATTCGATAGTTTTGAAGAGAGGAGGGGCATGTACCCCAAGCCCTCCTATATAAGCTACGCCACTGTCTCAACAGTGACCGAAATTTGTCCGGGCTCCAAGAACGCAGTGTCGAAGGGATTGTTTTGAATACAGACACATAATCGTAAACATTCCTGGAATGCATGTAAACTTATAGGGATTTATTATCACTATGACCGTTCAAATACTGATTAGCTCGTCCATTTGACAACTATATTGCTCTGCAAAAGGAGGTATTCAAAGGGTGTTCTGTTCACGTTAGTAATACAATACATTTTAATTTGCTATTACTCCTTCCTTAAACCTTTCAAATGTAAAACCAGCATATATATGGGTTCTCAAAATTGTTCTTTTTATGCTAAACAAGGTTTTTCTTTTCGATGATTATGAGTAATCCAATAAATATGCCAGGAATCAGGAATTATAGCATTACTGCCTTCGGGGAACAGGGGCCCGTTCCTCGAAACCGTCATAGGTCTACTACTTCTTGACTAACCCAGCCATGTGTTATATAATTAACACGCTTTTCGATAGGATATAGTCAAGAAGTTAGACTTATGACGGTTTCGAGGAACGGGCCCCTGTTTGACGGACGAACAGGAATTAAATTTGTAATTGCGCCCTCTACTAGTGCATTATTTATAGAGGGAATAAACGTAATAATGTCGCTATGCACCAATGTTAGTTTCCTTCTATCCTGTAATGATTCACCAAAAATTGCAAGACTTTAAAGATAAACTCCAGTACTAGTAAAAAAAAAAAAAAAAAATTCTCACATAATCAAACGAAACTTACACTGAATGTTCAAGATTACAAATAAATGACATGTGCCAAACAATTTTGGAAGAAAATGTATACTGGCTGAGTAATGAGCATAGAAAGACAAGGAAATCAAGGTAGTACTAGCCCCGACATCATGTGTGTTGTCCCATATATAGCTTTCTATGTGAGTGCTTGTTACTTTACCAAGACTCGATCAAATTTATTATGATTTTGATGACTCCAGAACCTTGCAGTGCACAGCAATACTTACATGCTACATGATCAACTGTTTCTGATCCTTTCCACACCTTTTCTTTCACAATGCAATCGCATCACTAGTACTAAAGTTTATCTTTAATGCTTTTAATTATGTTTTTGTTCATTTACACTAAACATAAATCTATGCCCTGTGGGTGACGAATAAAAAAAAGGAAGGAAAATATTTTCAATATTTGACGTGTATTGCCTGCATTTCATTGACAAAAAGCACCTTCAACCTAAAAGAGAATTCGTTTTGTCTCTTTTAAAGGCAAGAATTCAAAATTATGGCAGCTAATACAAAAAGGGAAAAATAGTGAAAGAGATATATAGAGAGAGAGAGATATATAGACAGATAAACAGAGACAGAGACAGAACGATGAGAAAGAGATAGAAAGAGGAAGAGTAAAGGTAAAATCATTTGATTAATCTAGAGAAGAATCAGAGTGTTTCAGAGGGGGAGAAAGAAAGAAAAAGATGGAAAATGGTGAGTCAAACACTCCAATTTGCCCAAATCGTGGATTTTGTCAAGACTTTCGTGATTTGAAAGTATTGACGCCATCTATAGAAAAAGTCACACCATTCTGCAAAACTTAAAACAGTTATTATTTTGTTCTTGTCACAATAATCATCCCTCCGAGAGTTATCACGTTCAGCTAATGGATAAATGAGAAATAATTCTTGATGGAAATCGCTCTTTCTGTCACTAAAGTTTAGACATAGGTGAAAAGCTTTCAAAGGGAATCGGATCAAACAAACATGTACAAAAACAGTTTGCAACGAGAAGTGGGACACGCAAAATTTGCTCTGGCACGCACACGATTTCAACAATTGAAAGCTATTGTGTCGAACACAACACGAGTTAATCAACATTACAACAAATGGCAAGGTAGCCATTTATATGTGTTTTTATGATGGAATTTCAACGGATTCCTGCTATGTGAAGGCATAATATGGGTCACCCCATATCACGAGTTTGCACGCTGACTTCGACACGACTTCTTTGCGCTTTGATCCACCCGAATTTCCATTAATTTGAGATTTAATTAAATAGGAGGAAATCATCGATGATATAATACAATTTTGGAATTTCTTTTGATTGATGAAAAGGATAAAAGATAGGGAAGACTTAGGACTACCAGTAACAACAAAATAATCAGAGCTTGACTATACATGCGGTTGATGAAAGGGAGATAAGATTGATACAGTTCACGTGATGACTATTATTCGGCCACGAAAGGTGAATAGAATCGGGAACTGAAGATTATTGTTCATGTTTCAACAACAGAAAAAATGGTAAGATGATCAACAGCAGACAAATTGTATGACGATAAACAACAAGGGTGAATGGACAGAGAGGCCACAGGGAGATAATAGGGCGGTGACAGTTCTGAGATGAAAAGATAAGATAAGGTAGATAGATAGATAGATATATAGATATTTGAAGGTACGTGGATATAATGTCTGTCTGTCTGTAATGTCTGTCTGTCTGTATGTCTCTTTCTACCTTCTACATTATAGAAGTTAGAAAGACAGCCATATAGATAGGTAGGTGTCGAAATATAAATAGTGTTTTACGCTTTTCACAAATTAGATATAGAAATTAAACAGAAGAAAAGATGTAGAAAGGTAGACGGGCAAAAAAGATCCATATAAAGATAGATAGACAGACAGATAGATAGATGAATGTATAGACAGAAAAATAGATAAATAGATAGATAGATAGATAGATAGATAAATGTGAGGATTTAAAATTTACTGTTGACCTAAATCATAAGAAAAATAGGTACAACAAAGAGACAAGCGGCTGAGTATCACCAAGGATCAATGAGTTTGAAGAAAAAAGCTTTCGATATTATGCCTTTCACAAAATGTATCAACTTCATCCTCTGACGAGTGAATAGACAATGTAGCAAAGGAATTAGGAAAAAATCCCTGAATACAAAACCCGAACAACGCACATCAAAGCGACACAAATAGCAAACACGGCAATAATCAACAACAATTAGATCAGTCGTAAAAATAACAGATGAATGAAAAATTATGACATATCATTCCACCAGAATCCACCTGTTGTACGTTTGATTGTAGCGGCTCTCGGCACTAAAATCACAGCAACGACCTCAATCAATGAAATGAACACTTTCATGACATT